CACACACACACACACACACACACACACACACACACACACACACACACACACACACACACACACACACACACACACACACACACACACACACACACACACACACACACACACACACACACACACACACACACACACACACACACACACACACACACACACACACACACACACACACACACACACACACACACACACACACACACACACACACACACACACACACACACACACACACACACACACACACACACATATAGGAAGACACGACAGGGCACGGTGGGATTAAGGTCACAGCTATAAAACATGCAAAGCACTGGCGAGCTGGAGACTGCAATCCTCTCGCAACGTAGTCCATCACACACACACACACACACACACGCACACACACACACAGTCTGTTGTGCCTGGCCAGCCAGACGAGGCAGACGCGCCAGGAACCGGCGACACGAGCTGCTGCTGCCAGCTAACCTGGTCAGTTGGAGTTTTTTATTAGTTTTGCATACGGGTTTTCGCATATAAACAGTAGCCGCAAAAAGTATGCACTCAAATTGAGACACTTGGAAAATAACAACTAACAATAACAAAAAAAAGGTTAAGCACATATTATCTGACTTTCACTTTGATATTATTTATTACACTTGGCGAACTTACAAAAATTGTGAATGATTGAAATAGGAAGAAATGAAATAAAGCTTCGTCAAAGTGTTCTCAAAGAAATTCCCAAAAGTAGAAATATTTCCTAAGATCTTAAAAAACTACACCCTGACTTCTGTGAAAGTTTCAGCTTTCTAGCTGTTACGGCTTTGGGCTGTGCGTTGATCATCAATCATTCAGTCAGTCAATCAGACAAGCGTTAAAACCCGTTGTATATATATATGTATGATCATATTGATAATTTAAAGTCAGCTATGTTTTTGATATTTCACATTTCTTTTACGATTAGTGGTCTTTCAGGCTCGATCAATCATTATGCAATTTGACTATCATTCAGAAGTCAGCCCTAAACAATTGACCGCGACTGTAGTCGTGACTGCTTTGTGGCAGACATAAGTTTACTGCACACTCAATTGGGTTGTCCTATTCGGACTCGAATTTGCCTTTGGCTGGCTGGCTGGCTGGCTGGCTGACTCTTTGGCTACGGCTTTGGCCTGCCACTTGGCGTCGGCTCCTCGCGCTGCGCCCATAAATATGCAACACTTTAATGTTCCATTCGTTTCTCCGTACGTTCGGTTCGTCCTGGCAACGTTTGATGTTTTTGCAAGCAACATATTTCAGACGGACACGGACATACTTTCATTCCCTTGTCATTTGCGGTCGCTCTGGTTTCCGGTTTACACACACACACACACACACACACACACGCACATGCATACGAAAGTGTGCGTGTTTAGGTAGTTTGGCTTGTCTGTATTGTCCATTTTGATCCCCATGTTAATAATATAAATGATGATTTATGGCTCTCGTAGGTGGGCAGTGCTTGTCAGTGGCTCCACATGGGCTCAGCGCCGGGGTCAGAGAGGGGCAGCGCAAGCAGTCGACGAAGCATTCAAACTAAATCGGCCATTCAATTATTGATCAAGTTAAAGACACATAACGCCGCACATTCAACTTAATTAGCAATTATGCTTATTTATGCAGCAGCATTTACTGGAAAGCCACAAGAAAGTGAAAAAAAATATATGGTATAAACCTACTTAAAGCTGGATGGCAAACGCTTTTGTTTATTTGCATTCGCTTTGATTATTTATGCATGCGACTGAGACACAGACCCAGACAAATAGCCGAAATTGTTTTGAAGCAAGACAATCAAAACAAGAGCAGAGCAGGGGAGGGGAGCAGGGGAGCTGAGGAGAAGGAGGAGGACGAGGGCAGCCAAGACACAGGCAAAACAACAGCCCGCCTCTGTTCAGGGCAGGCTGCAATGCCAGCAAATATTTCAGGCATTTGCCGGCACATTAAAATCGAATTTTGCATAGGAAAACAACATAAAAAACAAACGAAGTCAACTTCGCATAGGTTACAGCCTGGCATTGTGGGGCGCGCATAAAAAAGCCGCAGGGTCTCGGTTTTGTGACCCACACAGCGGTAAGCTGCGCCCCCCCCCCCCTCCGTTGGTACATACCACCACCCCCTTTTTGCCAAAAATTTATGCAAACGAATTAAATTGGCAGGCCGACTGACTGACTGACTGACTGACTGACTGAGTGGCTGACTGGCAGGAAGCCAGCATGGCTGGCAGTCGAGGCGCAGGAAGCCAGGACATCATGCTGATTGCGCGCGAGAGCCCGGGCAAAATATAATTATATTTTTAAATTTAAACATTAAATATTTATACACCCATACGCACACCTTTGCAGGCATTTTATGGCGCATAAAGCAATTTATGGTTATCATTTTTGCGTGCTTCACAAAAGTCAAGCGCCAGCCCATAAAGTCACAACTTTAGCAATTAGCCAACACTGGCCACGAAATGTCTAAACTTTCAAAACGAGTTGGTATTTTCAAGAGAGAGCGAGAGAGCGAGAGCGAGCGACAAAGACACACCAAAAATACCTAACAAGAAATTGCAATAACGATCATAATTCATGATTTCACTCGTGTATCCATAAGTCGGGCCAGAAATGCGAATAACAAGAGGCCGTAGAACGCCAGCAAGCATTTATCATTGTTGGGTGTGAGACGGAACGCGGAGGAATGGGAACAGGAATGGGAATTGTAATGGTGAGTAAATTGAAAAAATAAAATAACAACAAACTCCCAAAAGGCAACAACCTAAGATATCCACTAAAAAGAAGATAGATATTAAAAACATTTTACAAAAGCTACTCACTAGCGTCAGAGTTGATTAGTGTCAGTGTTGGTTAGTGTCAGTATTGGTTAGTGTCAGTGTAGATGCTCGGTAAAAGAAGTAAGAACCCTTAATCATTATAAAATATAAGTTTATTGCGATACCAAACTAAAAGATAACTTTCTATTGAGCTACTACAATTTAAGATTCTAATAATCACTTGTGTAAATATTTAAACGTGTTTTGCTCATTGTATCACTATTTTGTCAGTGTTGCAAAGGTACAAAATATTAATTTCAGCACACTGGTGTCAATACTAAGCAAAAAAAGTTTAATCTACTGGAAAAGATTTGTTTATTAAGCTGCTAGACTTAACTATCAAGATACTCGCTAAGATTAATATATGCCTTATATTTATACATGTTCTTTTAATTAAAGCACACTATTGGCAGTGTTGAAAAGTAAAAAAAAAGGAGGTTGTAAAGTAAAAGAAAAGGAGACCAGTTACAGTATTAATTTAAAAAAAATAACATGAATGACCTGAGCAGGTTTAAGTTACACGAAAATATTGGGAAGTGATGAGGAAATGCTAGACTTGAAGATACCCTCTAAAATGTGCTTCGCAGCAGTGTTGATAAGCGCCAAGTAATTTTGCCAATAAACAAACTATTAGATGACCCATATACCCATATATATGACAACAAGACCAAATGCGGTTAGGTAAATGCCGTTAAGTTAAAAAGTCAATTGCCATAAAAAACTTAATAAATGAAAGTGTTCTGTTGTTGTTTGAGGCCCTCCACCCACTCTCATTTATACTCTCTTTCATTCTCTTTCGCTCTCCTTCTCTCTCTCTTCCTCTCTTTCTCTCTTTGTGTGTCTGTCAGTCTTTCTCTGTTCTGTGCATCTCGCTCAAGCTTCCTGTTGCTGTCTTTGTTGCCAGTTTTCATTGTTGCCAACACGAAAATATCCTTAGGCCAATGCATTTGATTGTGCCGTCCAATGTTGCCGTTGTAAGTGCCACACACAGATCACACACACACACACACACACACACACACACACACACACACACACACACACACACACACACACACACACACACACACACACACACACACACACACACACACACACACACACACACACACACACTAACACACACATGTGTCGCTGTTTTGACTTCCTGGGGAATTGCTGCCTGTAGCCCCAGTCGCGCCCGTGTTCCCCATTTACATGTGGCTGTGCCTCAACACGGTTATTGCATTAAGCAAAAGTTGTAGCCTAGATTTGAATATGCCCCCCCCCCCCCTCTGCCACCTCCCGACTGGGGCCAGAGTCTCCCCATAGTCCACGCTTCGCGTGGACCACCTTCCACCTTCAGTCAACAGCCTCATCCCTCCCCCCGCTACCCCCCTCCACACGCGCATCGTCTACGCCTGTATTTTCGACATCGCCTTCGCCTTTGTCTCGGTCTTTCTGGACTTTCTGCTTAAACATTCAGCATTCATTATAGCCCCTCTTCCCGCCGCCGCTGCCTTCGCCCATATTTCCGGCCCACATACCCAGCTGAGCTGCTGCATATTTAATAAAGTTTCAGTTAATTTTCGTCAGTCGCATTATTTTGTGGCACATGCGTGTTAACAATTTATTCAGCCCCAAATTCATCTTTTAATACCCTGTAACTTTTAAAAAGTTTCTGGCTCTGTCTGTTCGTCCGTTTCTCTGAAGACGTGAAATCTGAAATATATAATGTAATTTCTATTGCTATCGATAACTCGCCATATTTCGATAATATCGATAAATATCGATATCGATAACTCAAAATGTTTAAAAGCTAGCTGCACCAAATTGTATGTGTAAGTTCCCGTATTGAGAATATTTTACTTTCAGGATTCCAAAAATTTAACAATATTTATATAAAGATCGGACTGTAAACTCCGAAAGTATTGAGGAAATCATTTCTCATGCACCCAAGTAAAGCTTTGTGTGTAGAGGGAAGCTAGAATGTTTGTAAAGCTAGCTCGGCGTGAGGTACAGGGTATCTGTGTGTCTGGTACGCCCGACTGGAGCACACTTGTTTCATATAATGTTTGGTTCGTTTTCATTTGGTTCAGGGTATACTTTAACATTTATTTTTTTGTTCAATAATTGGAAACGTTTTCAAACTTTCAGTAGGCGTTGACAATTCCATATTTAGTGTCAATTTTTGTTTACGCTCAAAATACACACACTTTTAAGGTAAACGAGTCGTTTACACTTTAAACTTTTCCAAAAATTCACAGTTGAAAATTAAATATGTGTTACTGCCCCGAGGATTGTTTCGACGATTGCTGTTGCTCGCTATGGGCCAAGGCGTACTTCTTCTGCATTTGGACTCTCGTACATGGAATCATTTTTACATTAATATTTTGTGGTTTGATAGGTAAATATTCGCAATATTTCACCTATGCAAAATGGATAACACAATCCTCGCAGCATTTACGCTTGCTGAAGATCTTTATCTTTGGATCGGCGTTGGCCTCCTAATAATTGCCCTCATACACCTAATTGCTGGAATACTCTTGTTGGTGGGCTTTTTGAAGGTAAGCTAAATGCAATTTATCTAACATATGCATGCTTTATCTTCTTCTTCTCTTCTTCTTTTTTACGTAGAACATACGTGTGCTGTTTTTAGTTGGCATCATTTTAAGCTGCATATTACCATTTGTGTTCGTGGCACTTATTTACCTACCAAGTAAGTTGAAGAACAAGTTGCCAAAAAATTAAACACTTATTAATTAAATTTTCCCCTGGCCTGCTTTCAGTCATGCAAGTTCTCTTCGTCATAATAGCATGCAGATATTATAAAATAAAAATGTAAACATGAAATGAAGAACACCAATCCGATTGCGAGAAGCTGACAAGAGGTCGAATGTTCACGTTTAGATTTTGCTTGTGGACCACTTCAATTTGCTTAGTATGCAATTTTCAAAAAAAAACGAAAAAAACAAAGAAAAAAAGCCTGGCAAATGGGCCGAAAAAGAAGCATCGAGATTTTAAACAGAACAAATATAAATGTGGTATATGGTCGAATGGAATTATGCGTATATGTCCCTATGAACGTATATTGTAAGTAAAGCCTGCCAACTGGACGAAATCCGGGAAGAATGTGTAGACGCAGCTAGATTTAAAGAAGTATATTGAAAACAGAACAGAACAAGCAGATTTATATATTTATATGCCAATGAGTATGAAAATATGCAGAGCGTAATGTTGTGAGTAAGGTCGTCAGGGAGACGAGATTCGGGAAGAACTTGAAGACGCGGCGGCAACAGTTTAACAATTATTCAGATTACCCAGATTTTACGCAGAACATATAGATGTGTATATTATGATGATTATGAAATATAAATTACATTCAGCAAGAGAAAAGTTATCTCGCTTGACTGGGAGATACCCTGTATCCAACGTCGAGCTATCGTTTACAAGGATTTCGACTTGTTTCACAACACACACACACACACACACACACAGCAGATGTTCTTCTCTTAGCCCCGCCTAAAGGGTAAATGCTTTCCTGAGTAACTACAGTGTCATGCCCCCCATCCTCATTATATCTCTAGGGCATACATATAGCATCCAAATGGAGTGTATATACAAGGGCACAAGCTTGTCCGAAAAGTGAATTATATATATATGTATATATATATATATATATATGGCGTGTATCCAACAAATTGTATTATTTTTGTAGGTTAACGATTAAGTGTTAGAAAGAAACGGTGAATTTGACAGAAGGTACTGCTATTCAACATAACTGTCCTACTTGCATTGGTGTTGCTACTGAAAGCATGGCCCAAGTTTGTTGTATAACGTTCATTTTGGTATAGTGTTGAGTGCTCACTAACAGTACTAAAAGTCAGAGAAGAATGTAGAATGACAAGAGCATGAAAATCATTCTACTCTAAAAGTGAAAGTCAAAACGAACGGACGTGCTCGCTCCTAAGAATACAATTTTCTTGTGACTATAACGACACTCGGCAAAGGAAGTAATTTCACTGATCCGACATATATATATATATATATATATAACCGGCCGGATGGGACCACTATAGCATATACCTGCCATAGGAAAGATCAGTTGAGAATTAGGTTCTTGTTTGGTAAAATATATTCTATATTTTCCAAGATGTTTTTCCCTTCTCTTGCTCCTCTATTCTCAGATATCTGCAAAAGTGAAATATTTACAAGAATTATTAATGTATCCCTACTTTCTCGTTCATGCTAATTGTTTAACATATCTACCCTAATGTAGAGAACTGGAATCGGACAGCCTACTACTGGCAAAACAACTAAATTGTATGGCCATATACATTTCCGTTTTCATCGGATTCAGGGCATTAAAACCTCAATCTGCCTGTAGGCATTGACAATTCAATCTTTCGTATTTATTTTAATTAACATTAAGCACATAACATACACAATTTCAAAATCTGAAAATGTGCGGCTCTAATGATTGTCTCGAGAAAATCTGTTGCCCGCTGGAGCCGAAGACGCTGTTCTTTAGCATTTGGACAATCGTACATGGCGTCATTTTTTTGGGAGCAGGAATTTATTTTTTAGGTAAGCTCAAATTGTTTCAGCTCTACAAAATGTGAACCAAAAATTCGGAACAAATAGTTACTGGAAGTTTGTGTCCACTATATGGATCCATTCTCATAGTAGTAGCCGCCATAGTGCATCTTTTAGGTGGACTCCTCTTACTTTTTGGCTATGGAAATGTAAGTTAAACTTTTATGTGTGTGCTTTAATTTGTATTATAATTTGTTTCCTTCGTTGCATAGGACTCAAGACCCGTGTTTTTGGCTGGCATCGTTCTGAGCTCCATAGTACCCTATCTACTATTGCCAACTATTTACCTACCAGGCAGGTTTTAGCCAAAGTTGCCAGAATTAGCCAATTATTAATTATATCTCTCTCTCTCTCTCTCTCTCTCTCTCTGTTACAGTCGTTCAAATAATCTTTACTATGACATCATGCATGTATTATAAAAAGGAGATGCCAAAATAATGCCAGACTGCAAGATCCTGACTGAAGGTCAAAGTTTGAGATTTCGATTGTCGATCAGGGATCAAGGCAATCCATGACAAGTATTTTTGAATGCAAATGGAAATGAATGTCCAGAATGCAATGGGAGAATCTGGTTCTTATAGAAATTTAAATATGGAATTCTAGATATTCCGATTCCTATAGAAACTTAACCTAAGGCGGAAAGTAATCGATAGGAAGTTTTTCTTACGAAACTTTATACCTGCTTTATAATTTTCAGGTATCTTCTAGTCCTGACTATGATTATATTCTAATTAGAAATAACCAAAATTGTAGTACGTGCACAAAATTCTAGTAAATTATTGGGCCTCCTCAATTACATTCATGTAATTGACACAAAATTTTTGAATGAAATTAGCTGACAGAGTTGTTGACATAATTAAACAAGTAAACTATGAAGTTGTGTTTGTTGTTATTGTTGTTGTTGTTGCAGCACAAAATCGTATTGAACATAACAAATCTGGCGACTCAGGCTTGTAGTCTCGTAGGCACGTTAAGAAAGTTGAAAAATCGATATTTATCGATAAGAAATCAAATGGGGGAGGCATCGAGAAAAGAGATATATGCATGAGGATTATTCTAAAACTGTAGACTGCAAAAGTCCATAAATCGATATTTATCGATAAAAAATCAAATGGGGAAGGTATCGAGAAAAAATATGTATGTTATGAAACCACATTCCAAATTTGCTGTCGCTGGATCTTATAATATCTGAAAGACGCTCAAAAAACCTATTTGCCAATCGATATTTATCGATATTAAAGTATCGATCACATTCGAACATGGCATGGTAGCAAATGAAGAAGCCAAAGCCAACGAAATGCCAGCAAGAGGCTGATATAGTGAAGGTAGGGTTGGGAGGGTCTTGGCTCGAGTAGTGGCAAAAGTAGAAGCAAAATGGCGGAAAAAAGTACAGTTTTTGCAAAACAAAGAATAGAAAACGATGTCAAATGCAAATTGACAGCTTTCAATATATATATATATATTTTCATTGGGTTCAGGGCATTTAAACCTAAATCTCCCCGAAGGCGTTGACAATTCAATCTTTTAATCTGTTTAGAATTAAGTATATAAAACAAAATCTTGAAATGTGCTGCTCCAATGATTGTCTCGAAAACGGCTGTTGCTCACTGGAGACAAAGGCGCTGTTCTTTAGCATTTGGACTATCGTACATGGAGCACTTTATGCGCTACTTTCAATTTTAGATTTTGGTAAGTATTTGCCAAAATAGTTTCATCTCTACAAAATCTGAACACAAAATCTGAAAAAATAGCTTTTCCAAGATTATATCCCTGGTATGTGTCTGTTATATTTTTAATATTGGCGTTAGTGCATTTATGTGCGGGAATATTCCTGTTAATTGGCTATTGGCATGTAAGTGAAGCTCATTTAAATATTTATATGTGTGCTTTATTCTTTATTTAAAATTTGTTTCCTTCTCTGCAAAGAACAAAGGGTGCCTTTTCATGTCTGGCATCATTATGAGCTCCATAGTACCCTATGTATCTGTGCTGTCTATTTACCTACCAAGCAAGTTTAAGCCAAAGTTGCAAATATTCGCCACTTATTAATTATATCTCTCTCTCTCTGTTACAGTCGTTCAAATAATCTTTACTTTGACATCATGCATGTATTATAGAAAAGTGATGGAGAAAAAATAATAGACTGCAAGATCCTGGACTGGAGGTCAAAGTTGGAGATTTCGATTGTTGGAGAAATAGAATTTTTAAAACCTAGTTTTAGTCGGAAAGTAATCAACGGGAAATGGTTTTACAATAGATTTTAGTTTTTAAATACAATTATCCAAAATTATTGCACGTATACAAAATTTGTTAATTACCGGGCCTCTCAAGTTATATTCATGTAGTTGACACAGAAATTTTTGAATGAAATTAAAAGCTAACAAAGTCGTTGACATAAACAAGTAAACTAAGAACTTGTTATTGTAGTTGTTGTTGTTGTTGCAAACAAAAAATCGCATTGAACACTTTGCAACGAAACGTGCTCTTTGGGGAAAACGGAAATGAAAGCAACAACGAAAAGCGACAAAACGAAACAATGATATTTGAAAAGCGAAAAACGAAAACAATGTCAAACACATCAAAGTCAGAGCTGGCGAAGGATTTTCATGCATTCGCACCCATACCAATGCGCAATGCCAGCCAAATCAACTGAAAAATCACACAAAATACATTTGGGAATTCCCTAGACGACGATACTCTGTTTTTTAAAAACGTAAAACATTCGGAATTTGTGTATAAATACGAGGAACTATATAGCAAATCTGGCGACTGAAAAGTCCATAAATCGATATTTATCGATAAAAAATCAAATGGGGAAGGTATCGAGAAAAAAATATGTCTGTTATGAAACCAAATTTGATGTCGCTGGATCTTATAATACCTAAAAGACGCTCAAAAAACCTATTTAAAAATCGATATTAATCGATATTTATCGATTTAAAGTATCGATCACATTCGCCACGTTTAACAGGGTATAAAATAAAGACGATGAAGCCAACGTCAAGTTAGACATGAACGTGAAGGTGGGGGAAAATGGCGGAAAAAAGTGCAGTTTTTCCAACACAAAGACAACAACAAAAAAAATGGAAAACGATGTCAAATGCAAATTGACAGCTTTCAATATCAATTCCAAAACAATCGCAGCACACGCGAGTCAAAGTTGGCGAGTGGCTGGGAGGCGCGAGCGGGGGCGGGGGCAGGTAGCAAGCCAGGTAGACACAGGTAGAGAAAAATCAATTTTATGGCCATGTCATCTGCACAGGAAAATGAAACCAAGTTAAAATACACAATGCTGCCTTTAAATGAGAAGGTGAGCAGGGCGAGCAGGGCGAGCAGGTGAGTCTTTGGAAAATGTTTTGTAACTCTATGGAAAACGCAATCAAATTGGGTTGACAGAGGTTAAATTAATTAAATCTGATTTATGCATCGAATGTGGCATCCACTGGCCAAGTGAATGCTTTTGATGTGGTCTTCATCTTGGCCAGCTGACGTGTGTGTGTGTGTGCGTGTGTGTGTGTGCGTGTGTGTGTGTGCGTGTGTGGTTGAGTACATTTTGCAAATTAGACTTGCGGTGCCTGGCTGAGATTTGCCTTTGGTTCAGCTTTTAGCTTTCAGCTTTGCCCTCTCGCTTGTCTCGCCGCTTGTTAATGACACAAGCATTGCCACAGAGTATGAGGCATTTTGCATAAATTAACTTTGCCAGCGACACCCTCGCCCAGCTGTTATCGCAACGCAATTAAGTTGCCCCACATGCCGCATGCCACAAGAAATGCAAAGTCTGTGGCAGGAAATCGCATTATCTAAATCAACTGGGATCCCAGCTGCAAGTCAACGCCGGGCAAACATATCGAACTGAAGCCCAGAATGCACACGCTTCCATACGGACTATATATATGTATGTATATATATATATGTATATAAAGTATCTAAGGACCGATAAAATGCAACTCAGCGAGCAAATTATGAAACGAACAGCAGCAGAAAGCCGAAGGGGCATCAATTCCGCGCATAAATTTTAATGCCCCGACCGACGTTCCGCCCCACGTCCAGCTCCCAACCCAACTGCAGTCGCATTTCTTTTTTCCTCTTATCGGAAAATTTCATGTAAGACCGAACGTAACGGAGGCCAAGAACCTTAACAATGGGCATATGGCAACGTTATGACAAGTGGCATGGCTGCAGCGAGCATGCACGACTAACAGATTACCTGTAATCAGCAAAGAGCAAGTCACAAGGCTTGTAATTCCCAACGAGTTAAAGCAACGCAAGATAGATACACAAATATACGCTGTTTGTGCACAAGCAGGGTATGCCCATTGACAAATGACATGGTCGCACGACTAACAGTTGACCTGTAATTACCAAAATATATATTAATAAGCCAAACACAAGACTTGCGCTTATAATTCCCAAAGAGTTAACGCAGCGAGCATGCTCGTCTAAAAGATGACGTGTAGTTGCCAAAATAAATATCGCAAGCGAGGCACAAGACTTGAGCTCATAATTCCCAAAGAGTTAAGGCAGCAATTGCTCGTCGCCCACATATACCCTCTGTGCGCTCAAGCACAGGGTAAACAAATTATGAGCACAACGCAGAACAAGAGAAACGCAGCGTATTGATTTTTGCCAAGAATTCGACCAGACCCGCTCGGACTTGGCCAATCCTGGGCCAAGGAAACGATGAAAGGCAGCGAGCCGTGGATTTGTAATTACGGGATTAGTCCTTCAATGGCAATGCGATTGGCACTTTTTATGATTTGCAATGCCAACCAGGCGGCAACAGGGTAATAGTTAGCCCCCCTTCCCATCCCCTCCAGTTAGCCACGTGACCTGCCCTTTGGCAATGTCTAAATTTGCAATTAGATGTGTTTGCCTGGACAGGGTGAGGGGTAAGGGGTGAGGGGTGTGCAGCAGCGTGGCTGTGGCACGCGGCACTGATAAAAGCAGCAAAAACAAATAAATTAAAGCAGCCGCAAGAAATTATGAGTTGGTCGTCAATTTGTTGGCAAATCGCTTAAACAAATCTGCAAACGCTTCGAAACACACACGCACACAAACCAAATCAAATGGGCTACAGTTTTGTTAGGAAAACAAAATAGAAAATATAGAAAAATGAAAAGGCAAAACCCCTCCAAACACCCAATCTGCCCGCTCCCACCCGCTCCCCCCTCCCCCTTCCTGTGCGCTGTGTCAAAGCAAACGCAATGCTGCTTTCCGTTCGAGTGCTTTGCGGGCTCTAAAGCCACGCAGCCGCCCAGCCATGACGACTATGGGTGTGGCAGTGGGAGTACGAGGGGGTGTGTGGGGGGGCAGCAACAGGGCGCGGGCGGCTTGAGGCAGAGCTGCGCGCTGTCTGAGCTGACTTTGGAGGAGGCTGCCACTGACGACTTCCGCTTGCCGCATAGAAAATTTCAAGATTTTGTGGTGCGTATGCCACATGTTGTTGTTGTCGCTATTGTTGCTGTTGTCGTTGTTGTTGTCGTTGTTGCTGCTATTCTACTCGACTCTTGTTATTCTTATAATTGTGCATATGACCCTGTTTAATACAGTTCGCTGCACAATTATGCGTTCCGTCTATTGTTTAACTTCTTTCGTGCCTTTGCCCTAGCCTTGTGACTTTTAAGCCGCGTTTGAATTATGGCTGCAAGACGCGAGTTTGGCTGGAGGGGGGCGTTTAGTGTGTTTATTGTAGCGGGAGCGCGGGGTGGGTTGGATTGGGTTGGAGCTACAAGCTTTGCGTTGATTAGACTAAATCAAATGGCAATACACACAAAAAATAGACGCTGATGTATTTAAGCGATTCTATAAATGAACATCAAATGATTTGAAAATTAAACTAAATATACTAGTAAGTTTCATTGGGCGGAGTTATTATAATGAGTTTAAACCGAGCGGGTTACCCATTTTACCACTGTTGCGGGCGAAATTTTCATTAAGTGTTTATGAAGAGCTTTGACAAACAAGAATAATGTTGCCAGATTTAGATGTCAAATTGCTCTAGAATTCATACCATGAACAAAGAGCCAAACCTCGTGCAAATCTGATTAAATTTGTGAGGGTGGGAAATCTTGACTCATGTCTATATAGGATAGAATTTTGACCAGGAATGATGTTGTCAGATTTTGATGCCAAATTTATCTAGAGGCCAAACGATGAACAAAAAGCCAAACCTTTTGAAAATCGGTTGAGTTTTGACCGAGTTATGGGGGTGGGAATTTTGGACCTATGTCTATATAGGATATTTGGGTTACCATTTTCACATGAATTTCGACCAAGAATCCTATTGCCATTTTTTATGCCAAATTTATCTAGAGGCCAAACGATGAACAAAAAGCCAAACCTTTTGAAAATCGGTTGAGTTTTGACCGAGTTATGGGGGTGGGAATTTTGGACCTATGTGTATATAGGATATTTAGGGTACCATTTTCCCATGAATTTCGACCAAGAATCATGTTGCCAGATTTTGATGCCAAATTTATCTAGAGGCCAAACGATGAACGAAAAGCCAAACCTTTTGAAAATCGGTTGAGTTTTGACCGAGTTATGGGGGTGGGAATTTTGACCTATGTCTATATAGGATATTTGGGTTACCATTTTCACATGAATTTCGACCAAGAATCATGTTGCTAGATTTAGATGCCAAATTTATCTAGAGGCCGAACGATGAACAAAAAGCCAAACCTTTTGAAAATCGGTTGAGTTTTGACCGAGTTATGGGGGTGGGAAATCTAGACTCATGTCTATATAAGATATTTGGGTTACCATTTTCACATGAATTTCGACCAAGAATCCTATTGCCAGATTTTGATGCCAAATTTATCTAGAAACTCAAAGCTAACTTCTGTGAATGATACCAACGATTTGGGCTGTGCTTTATACATCAATCAGTAAGTCATTCAATCAATCAGTAAGTCATTCAAACAGTCAATCAGTTAGAAAAAGGCCCGTTTTAGATGTATAAATAAACTTGTAAATAGAAAGTTTAAAGCAAAAGAGTTGTAAAAAGAAACTGTTAAGTAATTAAACAATTTGTGTTTCTGGCAATTGGAAAAGTGAAAAGTTTTTCGTGGCATTTTGTTTTGTTTTGTTTGGTGGAATGTTGTTTGGCAGCAAAACAATTTGTTAATTGACAGCTTAAAATTTGGCTGCTTAAATTGACAGTTGAGTTAAGGATCGGATTGTCAAATGACAATTGATGGCCAAATAAACGGCAATTAATTGGCATTGATGGAGCTGCCGCTGACTGTGGACCAAATATGTATGCCGGCAATTTGGCAAATTACTTTGCGGCTATAAATCAAAGCATCAAACTGGGCCCCCTTCCCCCTCCCCCTCCCCCTTCGCTGTGCTATTAGGGAACTAAGTAACTAACCGAGGGAGAGAGAGAGCTCCGCGTGTTTCCCCCTG